GGACCCTTGCCCGAAGCTCTTTTCAGGAGCATGCATCCAGATGGGGTGACATTGGCTAATAAGATTATATTGGTTTCAAGGGTACAATTCTATGGGACATGATCTGTCTATTGCACTGGGTGTCCACCACCCAAAGTCAGATCATCATCTGTCACCATATATTTGACCCCCTCTACCCCCCCCCCCACACCCCTTCCCTCTGGCAACTACAATACTGTTGTCTGGGTCTATGAGTTTCAGTTTTATATTGCACATATGAGTGAAATCATATGGTTCTTGGCTTTTTCTGATTCACTTATTTTGCTTAGCATAATATTTTCAAGGTCCATCCTTGGTGTCACAAGTGGCAGTATTTCATCGTATGGCTGAGTAGTTAGTATTCCGTTGCACAAATGTGCCACATCTTGATCCAGTCCTCTATTAAAGGGCACTTTGGTTGTCTCCATGTCTTGCCATCGTGAATAATGCTGCAATGAACAGAGGGGCGCATATATCTTCGGGAATAAATGTTTTCAGATGTTTCGGGCAGCTACCGGGGAGAGGGGCTGCTGGGTCATGTTATAACCCTGTTCTTAATGTTTTGAGGGACCTCCATTTCCATAGTGACTGTGCCAGTTTACATTCCCACCAGCCGTGAAGGAGGGTCCCTTTCTCTCCACGGCCTCTCCAGCACTCGTTCCTACGTGTCTGGTTGACCACAGCTGTTCTGCCAGGTGTGAAGGGGCATCTCACTGTGGTTTTGATCTGCATTTCCCTAGTAGCCAGTGAAGTTGAGCATCTTTGCGTATAGCTGTTGGCCATTTGTATGTCTTCTTGGGAGAATTGTCTGTTCAGGTCCTCTGCCCATGTTTTAATTGGATTGTTTGTTTTCTTGGTGTGCAGTTGTATGAGTTTTTTATAAATTTCGGATATATTAACCCATTGTTGAAGCTGTTGTTTGCAAATGTCTTCTCCTATTTGGTTGGCTGTCTTTTTGTTTTGTTGGTGATTTTGTTTGCTGTGCAGATGCTTTTTAGTTTGATGTAGTTCCATTCTCATTTATTTTTGCCTTTACTTCTCTTGCCTTTGGGGTCAAATCCATAAAATGTTTTCTAAGACCAAGGCCCATATGTTTAGTACCTATGTTTTCTTCTTTTTGTGTGTTCACTACTTCTTGTGTGTTTGCTACATGTTGACTTTATACAAATAGTATGTACTGCATTGTTTCAGATCTTATATTTAGACCTTTGATCCATTCTGAATTAATTTGTATACATGGGGACAATGTACAAATTTGTATTAAAAAAAAACACTTGAGAATCCCACCAGCATTTTGAAGTAAATTACCTCAGAAAGTCCAGATAACCTAAAACTTGCAATAATAATTATTAATTAATAATAGTCATAATTTCAGCTATGTTGTATATTGTGCTCGATTGTTCTGAAGGGGCTTTCTTACAAACAAACAAGAGAGTATTTCCAAATCTACAAAGTCTTACAACAGTCCAAGCATAAATTATTGCCGTATTGTTATTATTTCCACCAGAATCTTATAAGCGCCCTGTGGGGAAGGTAGGGCTGGTCTTATTTCTGTTCCACAGATGAGGGATAAACACCAGAGGCCCAACCATTTCAGTGTGATGTATGGCAACGGAGAGGGGCACCCGGTCTACCAGTGGGTCAGGTGGTCAAGTGAGATTTTCAAGAAGAGGTCAGGGCAGCGGGGTGAGTGAAGGGCAGGTCTTTCCAGGCAAACGGAGAAGCACAGTGTGTGTCTGAAGGAAGAGTGGGTATCTGTGAGTTGGATGAGAACTGAGGCTAAAGTGAGACCAGGATCTCCTCCTGGACAGCTCTCAGCTTGCCAGAAGGTGAAATGGATCACAGTGCTTACCCGTACACCCTCTCTTTCTTCTGCCTGTGCTGTTTCTCTGCAGTGGACAGAAGCACCCAACACCTCTGCCTTTGCAGGACGCAGCTTCCTTCCCATCCTCTGTGCGTGTGTGCCCGTGGGGGCCTGTTGAAGGCATCCTCTCTGTGAGAATGGCGAAAAGAGGAAGGAGGGAAGAGAAACAAGTATTGAGACATGAGAGTTTCTGGGCTGGAAGCTTCCTTAACTCCAGTCTGCTTGGAATCCTAAAACAGTCACTCAGGGGTCACTCATGACACTCTCTGAAGTCATGTTCTATAATGAGAGACATATAATTGAGGAACCCTTATCAGTTAGCCACTTGTGAAATACCACTGAAAACCCACTTCTATCCTTCACCTTGTAACCATTTTAGGGAGGATTTCTCCCATTAGGAGAAATTCTACCGGAATGAAGCTCACCAGCCTTCCACACCAATGACGTGACCACAGTGGCTCCGTCCTGGGCACACGAGCCCCGCCGTCTGCAGATCATCCGTCATGTCTGTACAGGGTGTTGCTCTAACCTGGGCCAGAGCCCCGCTCCTGCCCCCTCTCCCTGCTCCATATTTAGCCGTCTGCCGAAGGCCACGCATTTCATCAGAGTCTGTCATCTGTCCTTACTGATACGAAATAATGCAGAGGGTTATGTTTTTGTAGTCACTGTGACAGGCAATGAAAGTTTCTCCTTAGGTCTCAGCTCTTTTTTAAAAAGATTTTATTTATTTATTTAATTTTAGAGAAAGGGGAGGGGAGGTAGAAAGAGAGGGTAAGAAACATCAGTGTGTGAGAGAAACGGTTCATCACTCCACAGCCTCTCACACAGGCCCCCGTCAGGGACCGAACCCACAACGCAGGCATGAGCCCTGACGGTAATCAAACTGGTGACCTTTCACTTTGCAGGGTGACTCCTAACCAACTGAGCCACACCTTCCAGTGCCGGCTTCAGTTTTAATAGAACCACAGAGAAAGCTGATTTTGTTTAACCACCCTGCTGTTTGGGAAACAGAGGCCCACAGAGCTGACTTGAGGTGCCTCTGAATGCGAGAGAGGGCTGGGGAGTGAAGAGGGCTTGGTTGAACAGAACCTTTTTCTCCAGTCCGACTTTTCGGAGCATTCTGGAAGGCAAAGCTCAGAATTTCTTTGTTCACATTGCATATATATTTTTGGGATGCAAGAATAAATCCCCCTCTTTTTTATACTCATAACTGGGCATAAGATACAAAGAGTGTCCTTTGCAGGAAAAATCCTCTTTAGTGCTACTTTGAATTCCCCACTTAATAATTGTTTATCATTATATTTAGTAATTGTTATCAAGCAGCAGTATTAATAATCAAGACTACTTGTGTGTTTGCTATGTGTTGACTATATTTAAATAGTGTGTTTATATTATGCACTGTGCTAAGGATTTTCTTCGTCTAAGCACACTTAACCCTCTCAACAGCCCGGTGATGGAGGCGTTATCACGCTGACTCTACAGAGGAGGAGACAGAGGCTCAGAGAGGTTAACAAAGGCCTCCAGGTTGTCACACAGCTGGTTGGTTGGGCAACCTGGACTCCAGATCAGGTTTATCCTGCTTTGGAGATCCTGCTCTGAACGATTTTATCTTGTCGACTTCTTTTTGCAGATATTTAGTCAGGAAATTTGGCTTTTACTCAATCTATTGGAGAGATTTTATTTAATAACCAAAAGCCTGACACATGTACACTTCTCTGTTTTTGGGTTCTGCTACATTGTGGCCAAAATAAAACTTAATCATGTCTTAAGAGGTCTTAGCTTTGAGCTAAGTAACAAGGGAATTATAGATGCATGTACAGGTTTAAGTTACCTATCAGTCTAGGGACCTGAAGTTTGAGGCTGCTCGGAGGCCCCGGGAAGACCTTGCTCAAAAGTCTGGCGACAAAAAGACATCTAGGAACACATGCAGCAGAGTGACCCACTGAGTCTTCAGACAGAATCCTGCAGAACATTTGACACCCCAGCCCCTGTGCTCTGGACATTCGGTGTCTGGTGTTTTAAATAAGTAGTAGTGGAAACAGGTGACACAGTGGCTCTCTGCAGGTCCCATGTGCCAGGTTCTGTGCTGAGCCAGACTCTCCACATGCTTGATTCTCACAACAGTTAGATGAAAAAGGTCCTCTTCCTGTTTTCATTTTTCCCATTTTTCCTTAAACAACCAAGACTCAGAGAGGTTAAGTAACTTGGCTCAAGACACCCAGCTCTCATGTGGTTAAAAAAAATGAATACATGAAAATCATATAAATTATTTGATTAGTTCATTTGAAAAGGCTATCATCTCTAATTAAACAAACAGACACTGTGGGTTGACAAGGATAAAAGTGTCTTGGGGTGAAGGTCAGGATTTAGAGGAGTGATTTTTAAAAACTGAAGCAGACTGCTAGCTCTGCTTTGCTTTGCTTTCTGTGGGATGTGTCAGGAAGATTGCCAGCCCGCGAGCTGCTAAGCCCAGATTGTACAAATAACTTTTACTCTGGATTTTGGCCTGAAAGCCCTTTCCTTTGTCTGAGGCTGGGTTGGCCTTGTGACGATGTCCCTTGGCAAACAGAACACTGTCTCCATAGCTGATCTCATTGTCTGCAACTCTTTCACCTGCAGTGAATGAGAATTTACTTGGCCCTTTCATGAAGTTCGGATTCTGCCATATTCATGCAGTCCTGTTTAAGAGACCGGTGCTGCATGTGGTTATGTTTAAGCAAGTTACTTTGATTAACCAGAGGCCTAGCAGAGTTCCTGATATATAGGTAGCTTCCAAAGATGTTGAAAGAAAGAAATAATTTAATCCTCACAACATCTCTGAGAAGTGGCTCCTAAATTTATCATAAGCTTGCAGATATGCAAGATGAGGCTTGGAGATCAAGTAAGTAATGGCATCTGGTCTCTGATGCAGAAATGCCAAGGACACGCCCTCTCAGATATAACGGTAGTCACTTTTGGAAAAAAACCTCAAGGGGAAAAACAGCAAATTTTTAGAGTTCTAGTAATTTCTTTTCTCTGACCTCAAATTCCCATAGAAACCAAGGACTGGCTGATCAATCGATAAATGAACGGAAGTGCGAGTAATGTCAGTGGCTCATTACATTTCTCTCCCTTGCAGTTCCCAAAGTGGCTGGGATGCGCTAGAAACTGAAGCCAGAGCGCACCGTCAGCTGCCTTCCCTGCTTCTTGGGGCGGAAGCCAGAGAGAGCTGTTTGGAAACGTCTCATTCACACACCAGGTTGCTATTGAGGTCTTTTTCATGTTGTGATCAGAGCAGTTGCTTGTGTTTTTATCACTAGGCTGATTTTCGAGATAACATCAGCTTCTGCTTCTTGACTGGGTGGAGTTGTGGGTGCATGAGCTGGGGGAAGGCAGGTCCAAGCCTTCTCTTTTGGGGAACAGGGGGCTGGATGAGCGGGGCAGGATGGCCACACTGAGGTGGGCCCACGTTCAGTCCACTTGCCAGTGAGGAAGTGCCCGGGCATCGGAAAAGGAAAAAAGAAAGGCTCAATTTTCCCTCTTCTTTTTCCGTTCCAGTTGAAGACCAGGCTTTGAAGCATTTCAAAGTAGATTGAGGTCTCTCTTGGATGGACGGAGAGAGGTAACATCCTGCAAACTGCTGCCAGAGGTCCTGTGGACACAAACCCCCTCTGGTTTTCATTCCCTGTGTTGAATGGTGTTTGCTTTAGCCATTCAGGGATTCTGAACTTGTGACCAGGAATTCAGGCCGGGAAGATGCTGAGTTCCATCAAGTGTGTGTTGGTGGGAGACACTGCCGTGGGCAAAACCTCCCTGTTGGTGCGCTTCACCTCCGAGACCTTCCCGGAGGCCTACAAGCCAACCGTGTATGAGAACACGGGCGTGGATGTCTTCATGGACGGCATCCAGATCAGCCTGGGTCTGTGGGACACAGCTGGCAATGACGCCTTCAAAAGCATCCGTCCCCTGTCCTACCAGCAGGCCGACGTGGTGCTGATGTGCTACTCCGTGGCCAACCACAACTCTTTCCTGAACCTGAAGAACAAGTGGATTGGTGAGGTCAGGAGCTACCTGCCCTGCACCCCCGTGCTGGTGGTGGCCACCCAGACGGACCAGCGGGAGGTGGGGCCCCACAGGGCCTCCTGCATCAGTGCCATGGACGGGAAGAGAATGGCCCAGGAGGTGAGAGCAAAGGGCTACTTGGAGTGCTCCGCCATTAGCAATCGGGGGGTGCAGCAGGTATTTGAGTGCGCTGTCCGCACTGCCGTCAACCAAGCCAGGAGACGCAACAGAAGGAAGCTCTTCTCCATTAATGAGTGCAAGATCCTCTAACCTCCCAGGGACTTCAACCAACACTCATTCACTCCCCTCAAAGACTAACAGGGGCGGGGAGCGCAGGCAAGCCAGCAAGGGTTGGTGCTCTTCGGGGCACATCCCGAGCTGCGTATCCTTTCGGATACGGTTGTCTTGTCGCTGGGACTCGGCCCCCGGATGTTTTACTGAGTGCACTCTGCAAATGAACTCCTCATCCAGTCCAGCCAGAGGACCCCTTGGGCAGCTGGAATGAATATTCTATCTTCGATTTAAAAAACTAAAATGGTCTCTATAATTTTGGACAATGAAGTGAGTTTTCCAAAGAATTCCATATTTAAAGACACAATGTATTTAAATGATAACGAAATGTAAAGCTCTTATATATAATTAATTTTCACGCTCGGGAAGTCTTCTCCCACGTACTCACAAACACACACCGCTGTGTGTGTGAAGTGGTCTTATGGGATATTCTGCCATATGTGTTCGTAGTGTTATTTTCACCTGAACTGCTAATTTTCTCGAAGCCACTTGCCTGCTCCATTTTACTAGGTAACCAGATTTTAAAAAGACCATCAACTGATGCTTGCTATTAGTTTTTCACCCAGCTGTCACTCAGTTTGCATACAAAATATGTTTGATAACATGATACCTTAATACTGTCTAATGATTTAAGGCAGTTATCAGTCTGTTTTTTCTGTAATTATTAAAAAACATTTCTTATTTACAATACTACCTTTCACCCAAAGAACTCCAATTATGCACTAAGTATTCCTCTTTCATTTACCAAAACAGATCAAAGGAAAACCCTTCGGGCAGAGAATCAGACTGCGTCAAGTAATAGCAGCAGAGCTCGGAACAGGATTTAGAACTCTCCCTCTCCTTTGCAGGGCCTGGGATTTCTGGATCCCAGCCTTGTGAATGAGGGCCAGCTCAGCGTTCTGCATGACAACAGTCAGGAGGCTTTGTTATCTGAGCTCTTAACTAAGCTGGCAGAGCAACATAAGTTATGAATTTCAGGATCTTATCAGAATGATTAGTAAGGTGTCTATGTACATATGTGTGAGTGAAGGAAATAAGGTAGAATTTATAGTTTTTACTATTTCATGAATATGAAACACCTGTGTAAAAAAGCAATCACGAGTTCCCAGCACAGGGAACAGGAAAACTGTATAACAATTTTTTTTTGTACAATAAAATGGTATCAAGGGGAAATACTGAATTAATAGGGACCCCTCAAACCCCATTCTATCTAATGGCTTCAAAGCAGTGGCATGGATCATTTGTTAAAGTTGAGAACAGAATTCTGTGTCACTTGAGGAGGAAATTGCGAGGGCTGGCACCAGGTACATCATTTACCCACCTAATCAGAGGAAACTGAGAACGACTCCGAACCACGTTTGTTCAAGTTCATCACTGTTATTGTAGGGCGTGGCCCTCGCACACAAATGGTAGGGCAGCTGGCGTAAGTAACTAGGATTAGACTCACGCTGGCATAACCAAACCCGTTTCTCAGTTTCCTCATGTGGTCCAGTCATCACGGCTATAACAATGCCAGCACCCAATCTGTGCCCCTCCTCACACGTCTCCCCCAGGAACACCCACCCAGTAAAAGGCCAGGGACCTGGGTCTCAGTCTTGGGGCACCGAAGTTCCTTCAGTTCCCTGGGGCTGATGGATCTGCCCTCCCCCAGCCACCTCTACTCCTCCAGCCCTGTGGCTTGTCCTTGCCTCTGTTACCTGTGTCCCTTGACCGGAGTGTCCCTATGTCGAGTTCTCCGTATTGTGCTTAAAGGCTGAGCAGGCCCGGGGGGTGGGGGGCAAAGGGAGCTCACCTTCTTTAGTATCCCTGTCAATCCCCCTCTCCATCAACACACGAACAGTCTTAACTCACACAGAATTTTCTTCAGGGCTGGTCTTTTGGGTGGAGTCTATTTAGCTTGTCAGCAGGAATGAATTTCTATCTGTCAACATTGCCTGTCCCCAGTCTTTTCTTTCTTCATTGTTGAAGGGAGAAGAAGACAGGGGGTGTCTCTGGAAATGGGAAAGCCCAGGTACCTGATTCAGAGTGCGGGAAAAGGAGGTGATTCCATTTCAGGACAGGCAGGCAAGGCCAGAGCGGGGACAGCCACATGGGTGGACACACCAGTGAGCCTTCTGCTTGCAGGCAGCAGCCAAGCTTTGAGGTTCCCCGTGGGAGCCCTCACACCCGAGAACAGGGAATGCATGTGCAAACCCCGCCCAGGACGGGACCTGGCAGAGTGGCTGTCTCCTCTATAGGACTGAGTTCCTGAAGGCAGAGACGCTCGCTGTGTATCTCGCAGGGCCCAGTACAGGGAAGAAACTGTAACTGAACAAACGTGTTGAATTGGAGAGAGCAAAGGAATGGCTGCTGTGCCACGAAGTGGGTATGGGGGGGGAAGCAGACCCCTGTCAGCCTTGCAGGGGCAAGAAGTGAAAGTAGGTCACTTCTGTTGGAAATCATGTAATGTATGTTCTACACAAGTCTCTATTTGTACCCGCCTTTATTTATTTGTGCCTGTCTTGACTCAGGCACATGCTTCTTACTCTCCAAAACCTGCAGGACTTTCTGTAGACTGTACTATGCTGATTCTTAACTGCACCAAACAACTGTATTAAATATGCTCTTGTTTACCTTAAAGAGTTGGTTTGAGTGGTTGAGTTATTCATCCTCTTCTGTTTTTACTTTATACAGACTACTAACTGGGGCAGCAAGATCAGGCAAGATGAAATGAGGTTGAGTGACAGGAGGATTGAAAGCAGCCTAAGGGTTACCATTCGCTGAGCGCTTTGAGTGTGCTCAGTCCTCAAGTGTGCATGTCGCCACGTGGTATATAGGGGCCACGCTGTAATGAGCACCATCATACACAAGGGAACTGAGTCTCGGCGCACTGATGTGATCAGCCCAGGCCATACAGCAGGTGAGTGGCGGCACCAGGACCCTCGAGCAGGTCTGTCTGACTCCAAAGCTCTGCTCGAAACCACTGTGCCCCACTTCCTCCCAGGGCAGCCCGACGGTACGGCTTCGCCACATCCGATCTCCTGTAGCCTGCACTGAGTCCTCACTTTCTTCCTGGCAGTGAGAACAGGACCCTGCTAAGTCACAGAGCGCCATCACTGGCAAAGTCCCCAATCCTACCCTTGGCTTGTGACTTGGTGCTTTAAACAGCTTGGGGAAAAAAGTCTTTTTCTTATCTCCCTTTTTCATCCCTCACGTTTCAGGAATTTCCTTTAAATGAGGGAGTGATAGAGGAGAGCGGAGCTGTGTTCTTTCATTTTAAGGGTCTGGCACCGTGAAAGGGCACTTTACCCAGCAGGAGACGTGATAGAAGGATTCCAATTAGGCACGTTTGCAGGGTCATGTGATACCAGAGAGGGGGTGGAGGTTCTGTGAGTGCTCATCCCCAACACCTGGAAGGCAATCAGTCCTACGGGTTGCATCAGGTCAAGACAGCTCCAGGGTAGGGACCTGTTTTTCCTTAAGCTGTTACTCTGCTCATAAAGCAAAGAAATGTCCTCACTGGCCAAGATCTCAAGCAGTTTTCCACCAGGAAGGGTCACATTAACCATAGTAATTACCTGTGATGTAAGTCCATAAAGAGTACTTGCTCAAACATGAAGTCCACATTAACTTTTCCAGTCAACTCTAAAATACATCCTGACGTGGGATTTTATGCTCACTGGTCGTTAGAGAGCCGTAATGACGGAGAAAGAGGCTGGACCGTTGTGACATTTTAGAGTCAGAGGTCTGGGTCCTGTGTCTTTCAGCCTCTTCAGCTTCCCTATCTCACAACGGAGACAGTTGCTGGGTTAGTCTAAGCATTAATTCAACAGTGATTCTGAAAGTGCTTTGTGTCTATAAACTGCTGTTCATATGGCAGTGTTGTTATGGTTTTGGTGGATTTCTATGCAGATGCATAGGCTGAATATACTAGGTCAGATGAAAATATTCTAGAACCAGGGCCCACGTGACGGGATGCAGAAGCGAACTCCGCCTGCAGCAACGTCGTCACTCAGAGTGAGATGAGTAACAGGACACACAGTGGTGGCAGCAACAAGTGCATGTGAATGCATACCGGCTCCAGGCCTCTCTACACATTATCTCACTTAACCCTCATAACATGGTCATAAGGTAGGTGTTACTCTCTTTATGCTGATAAGAAATGCATAGATAAATGAAGCTATTTCCCTTGTACAGTTACTTTGCAGAGGGTCCCAGTTTTACCATGTAATTTTGGTATAAACTTGACCAGCTACAGAGTATATGATGAATTGTGTTTAATGTTCATTACACTTACTAATTTAGCTAAGAAGGCAAGAACGACCCATTATACACTACGGGGGCACGGTGAGCTCAGCGGCCTTCTTGTGTGAGTTTTTATGTTATTCTTCCTGTGAAGTCCCAGGTGATTGCTGTACATTGTCCTGGCTGGCTTGTGCTGGCTGTCCCCACTCCTCACAGGCCCATTTCCCACCCTGTGCTGCCTTCCTCTGTGGCAAGAGGTGAACCCTGCAAACTGTATCACCCAGGACCTCCTCCTGGCTGCCCTCCACTCGCGTTAGGCTCCTGGAAGATGCTGTCCGGAAGTCAGAAGGTGGGAGAAGAGAATCCTTGAGTTTATCATGCTATTGCCTTCCTGCTTTGGTGATGCTTATCTGTCAATAGCTGTGGCTCCTCCTTGTGGCTCCTGCTGGGCGGCTTCTCCTGTGCGGTTCTAATTTTCACTGGGCTCTAGGACAGGACTTCCTCGCTCCCGCATTGGCCCTGGAGGAGGTAATGGCTCCCTGCTGGTGCTGGCGTTGGGAGGCAGCAACATCACTCATGTGGTCCCCTAACCTGGACCTCTACCAGCAGTGCCTTCATTCAAGACTCTTCATCTGAACCACCCAGAATAAGTTTGGTTTCCTACGGGATTCTGACTGACACACTCACTGAATATTGAAAGTATTCTACATGTTCTGGCATAAAGTAACTACTCGAATTTCTACTGAAGGTATAGGTTTGCCAATCTGGATAACTGCCCTGTGTTAGCCTCAAAACCCAGGAAATATCGCTCTTGACATCAATTTGCTTGGAAGAGAGAGGAGTATATCGAGTAGTTCTAATCTGAATAAGCAAAAGAATAGTTCTGAGATAGCACTGTTTCAGATTTGTGGGTCTTCTAATAACATGAGGACTGTGCTCATGAGGATTATTATTCATAATATATAAAGAACTACTACAGATTAACAAGAAAAGTAACTCAATTTTAACATGGACATTGTTAAACATGAGGACTGTGCTCATGAGGATTATTATTCATAATATATAAAGAACTACTATAGATTAACAAGAAAAGTAACTCAATTTTAACATGGACATTTCACGGAAGAAAAAATATGTATGACCAATAAACAATAGAAAGGGTGCTCAGCCCTGGCTGGTGTGGCTCTGTCAGCTGGGTGTTGTCCAATGGACCGAAGGGTTGCTGGTTTGATTCCCAGTCAGGGCGCATGCCTGGGTTGCCAGCCAGGTGCCCAGTAGGGGTCGTGCTAGAGGCAACTGATCCATGTTTCTCTAGCACATTGATGGTTTTCCCCTTTTTGTTCTCCTTCCCTCTCCCCTCTTTCTAAAAGTAAACAAATGAAACCTTTTTTAAAAAAAAAGAAGAGGCGCTCAATCTCACTAGCAAACAAAGTCCTCAGTGAGATATTTTCACACCACCATATTGGCAAAAATCGAAAAGTATGGCTAAGCATTGGCAAGGATATGAAACAACAGGAAATCTCATATGCTGCTCATAGGGGTGTAAACTGCTACAACCTTTTGGCATTATTTATTGGTACTGAATATCCTGTATCCTTGACCCAGAAATTTCATGCTCTAGAGATACACTTGCATAGATTTCCTGGGAGACATATATGAGAACACTTTTAGTAGCACTGTGGGTAATAGCAAGAACTAGAAACAATCCAATGTCATCAATGGAAAATGGCTAAATAAATTTTGGTATATTGACACATGAAATACTATGCAAGAATGAAAATGAGTGAATTGTAGCTATACATATCACCATAAATGGGTGTAGACAGTGTTGAGAAAAAAGAAAGTAGTGATCAGTATGTACAAGGTGAGTCCATTTATATAGAGTTCAAAAGCAAGCAAAACTTAACAATATAATATTTAGGATCAAAAAATGTTAAAACATGAGCATGATTAACGCAGCATTTAAATAAGTGGTTACCTCTTCTGGGGAGGAAGGGAATAGCATTTAGCAGGGTCAGCGGGTACCTCAGGTATTGGTAATGTTCTATTTCTTGTTTGGGAAGTGGGCACATGAGTGATCATTGAATTTTTTTATATTGTTTATCACTCAAAAATATTTTTCTGTGTTTTATACATTCCTTTGTGTACACTCCTTTGTCTGATGTGACTCACAATTTTAAATGTTTTTTTTTAATTCAGGTTCTACTGTCAAATTCCCGGGACTTGAATTCCAGCTCTGCCACTCACTAGATTTGCAGCCTGTGCAAGTTAACTGACCTCCCTGTGCACCTGTTAGATGAGGAGAAAATAATACCATGGGTGGTGAGGATGAAAGGAACTAATACAGTGAAGTCAGGACTATGTCTGGTACAGAGTACATGCTCAGTAAGTGGCAGCTGTACTATTCAGTTGTCCTGGTGTGTACCTCAGACCTGAGGGGACCCTGCTGCTTTGCTGAGACTTTGGGACTGTTACGTGACTTGCCCAAAGCTCTACCAGTCACTGGCAGTTCCTGTGCACCTCACTCATCTCATTATTCTTTTGAGTGCTCTTTTCTCTAAGCTTCATGAGTAGAGAGAGTTTTTTGTTTTGTTTTGTTTTTTAACTTTCTCACTTTTCATAAGTTTGCTGTTTAATCCAGGTTACCTGCACTTTACAATCTGTAGTATTGTTGCTCAGCACAAAGCAGGGATCTTCGGGATCTTCCAGAAGGGCTCAACCCAGGCTTAGTTCCTTAAGTGGATACAGATCTCCATCTCTTTGTTTGTTCATTCAACATTTATTAACCTGAGCATATCTCCGTCACTGGATTTACCAGGTTGTCTCATAACTGTGTTTGTGTTTCCCTTCCCCCACTGAACCACCACCTTCTGAGCAGAAGGCTGCAAATAGCCCAAGTTCCTGCTTTTGTGGAGTCGAGGATCTAGTTAGGCAGAGATGGGTGTGTGTGGGCAGATGATAATTATGTAAATAAATCAGATACATGTGGATGGGCGACCAGTGCTATGAGGAAAACAAATTGGGAAAAGGGAGAGACAATATTTGGTAGTTTATTTTCCTAATGGAGGAGAAGCCTAGATGATGCGAACAGACCTTATTTAAAAATAAACTGCCCCTCTGAAAAAAAAAACAACGGGCTTAACGTTTTCTCTGCTGGCCCCAAGAGGCGGACACATGTGCTTTACCAACAATCAGTGGTCAATACCCAGTCGCCCCCAGAAGTGACTGACTTCACTGGGGATGCCAACCTACCTGCCTGTTGGGTTAGGACTGTTCCAAGGAATGAATTAGCAGATAGACAGGAACAGAAAAGTGACGTGACTAACAGAAGCTGAGTGGGGCTGGAGCCTGCACCGGCAAGTGGTTTCTGAAAACAAGGAAGGAAATGACTAGAATTCAGGGCCTAAGTAGGACTCAGAGCACTGCCAAGAGCTGGCCTGCTGGGCGCTGCGGGTGATTCCAAGAATCTGCACACATGTGCGCAGTAGCCCAGGCCTGAGAAACAACGGAGTTGCCAAGGCTGGGGCCCGTCTGCCTGATGCAATTGGGTGCACTTGCCCTTCAGAGCTGTGTTTGCTTGTGCGGTGCCCCCGTCTGTGGCACTTTCACACTGATGGGAAAAGGCAGGGGTGCAACTTACAGGCGACCCATCGGCATGAACCCAAGGGCAGTGGTTGGGTGGTAGCCCTGTTGTCTCAGGGAACAGAAGACTCACTAAGGATTTTGACGGAAGGCATGTTCGAAAAGTCTTCAGAAAACCCCAAATAAATCACTGTGCACATGTACTTCTCAAATACATCTCTCGCCCTTCCTTGTTTCTCCTCTCCTCCTCATTGTTTTTCTCTGCGGTCACGTGGCCCTCCCACCGGCCTTCGATGGTTCTGGTACCCGAAATGGTGCTGTGCCCATCCACAGTACATCCTGGACTCTCTTTCTTGAGTGAATCAGTCCTCATGTTTTCATCTGACACGTTCATCCAAACATTGCCCCACGTGACCTCACAACGGTGCAGTGGGGTATTATTATCTGGTCTACTTTGCAGGCGAGGAAGCTCAGGCTCGGGAAGGCTAAAGGGCTCCTGTCTGGGCAGCTAAGTAATGCTGGGCAGAACCAGGATCCAAACTCCCTTTTTCCATTCCACCAGGCTTTCATCTGAGGCTCAGCATGACCCTGTGAAGTCGGAGTGACAGAGATGAGGCCCACGAAGGCAGTGTGGTGTGTCGGGGCCACACACACAGCCCTGATCAGATGGCGGTCTCCGTTCTCATGCCCTTATCATGCTTATTATCAGAACACGTACTTAAATCGGACCCACCGCTGTGTGTAGTTGTCTGCCGAACATTCATTAGGTGAGTTAAACAGACATAGATTGTATCTCGGTTCAATGAATAGAAAAGCCTGACAGAAGGAAATTATCTGCCAATCCAGGCCCCAAACCAGATTTTTATTAATTCTTTGGATGCTGCCTGCAGACTCACGCTAATTTTTTCTCTCTTCTGTCAGTGCATATGCTTCCACTGAGGGTCTAATATCTAAGTCAACATGATAAGAACACTTTTTTCTGCTTCTTTATTATTTTTACTGTGTTATTACTATTATTATACTGTCTGGTTTTACTATCTATATTATATAATATATATCATATTACTTACATTATTACTAGACTCACACTTTTGGAGTTGGAAGAAGGTTGTTATTATGTTATGTTAGTATGTTATGTTACTAATATTATACTATAAAATACTGTAACAATTACCCAAGGACACCGAGCTGGCTTCAGGCGAAACTGGGACTTGGGGGCCAGATCTCAGTTGCTCCCTCAGGCCTCAGCCCTTTCAACCTTTACCTTGGAGCCACGGACTGTGTCTATTTGTTTCAGTTTCAGTGATGGAAGTTTAAAGGTTTACCCTTTGCTTAAAATGTCAGCTCATTGGCAGGTGATTAAAAGGAAGAAGAAAATGTCAGAGGCAAAGGCCAGCCTGTGAAAACAGCAACAGCACAGGAGCGGAGAGGCACAGGACACGGCAGCCGGCCAGCAGCTCTGCCTTGCCTGTTGTCCACGAGCTCAGCAGCCCAAGCCCAAGCCCCGCACCACTCAGGCTGGGGCAACACGGGTTCGGGGGAACCTGAAGGATGCTCTCCCACCCTCCACCCCAGTGCTCAGAAGGGAAATCTGCAAGCCAGCCCGATTGGGGCGAGTTAAAGAAATCCTAAAGGAAAGAGAGATTCTTTATACAGATATGTATGTGTCCATCATTCCCCTGACAAATTTTACAAATATTGCATGCTTATTGTTGAAAAGATTAGGAAAAAACAGCAATGCAAGAAGACATGAATAAAAATCATCCTGATGAAGATCCTTTTTTGTATTTATCCTTCCAGAATTTTCTTACCCACATATGTGTGTATTTTTACAAAAATAGGATCATATGGTACAATCTGATTTCCAATCTGCTTTTTTTACTTACTATATTGTGAACAGCTTTCGATGTCAGTGTGTGAATGAATATACACACTCCTACACTGTTGTGTGTAACAGCAGCATGGTAACTACCCCAGATTTTCCCAAGGAACCTGTAAGTGCATTTGTTAATGGCATGGGTAGCTGGCTATTGAACTTTGCACTGGGAAAGTGTGTAGGCACGCTGTGTGTGTGTGTGTGTGTGTGTGTGTAGTAGAGGTGTGCTTAAAGCCATGCTAAAAACCACAGATCGAACACTATGTGCTTTATATAGATTAATTTATTTACTCGTAATCCCCCAGGATAAAGGCGCTGTTATCATCCCCATTTTACAGATGAGGAAACTTACCCAAAGGTCAGACACCTCGCATGTGCCAGAGTCAAGATTCAGTCCAGACGAGCTGGCTCAAGCCCACGTTCCTGACCATCACACCTCCCATAATGCTTCCACCTATTTGGTGCCACGTGCTGGCTCCTTGGTGATATAACTGGGAAGGACTGTAGGAACATTCAGTCTCAGAAAGAAAAATCTTAGTCTGACAGATGTGAAGTCCAGAGATTTCTCTACTTTCCTACCAAGTCACCTGCAAATTCATTACCTAGTTTGAAAACCATCCATCCAGCTCTTCTCTCTCTAGTCTTCTCTGTCTCTTTCCCCAACCATCCACCTGCCCCCCATCTTTATCTATCTTTTCTGCTCTTCCCTCAGGGTTGTGTTCCATATGGAAGGTCCCTGGAAGAGGGGTAAGCCCTTCAGATGGAAACAGCTACGAAGAAAACTCACCTTTCTTTTCTCACTATTGACACCTGTCAGAAAGAATAGTCACGTTCCTCCTTTGACCAGACTTCCTCTCAGGAAGGGCTGGGAGGGGCTCTGGGGAGGAAGAAAAGCAGGGGGTGAGGGGGGAAGAAAACCCCCATCCTGCCACAACACAGAGCCTCGGATTTTGCTCTGCTTTGATGCTAACGTCTCTGATGCTCCCCAGTTTGTTCTGAAGTTTGGGGGTGGGGCAGGCAGGAGAGCGTGAGAGGTGCTCTGCCTCCAAGCAATGGCGCGGCTCCAAGAAGCTGTGGATGAGGAGGCTTGGGCGGACACCTCTAGTTCCCTCCCCTCCAAAATGTGCCTGGTCGTCTACGGTAAGGCTCACGTTGGAGCTGGCCGGGCCGCGGGTTTGTGTGGGGCCGACTCAGGGTCTCTTCCTCTGCCAGGACATTTCTTCTACATGGAAATGCTCATGGGATAAAGTCGTCTGGCTTTTCCAGTGGGTCTGTGATCATCCGGCTAAACTGCTGTGGTAAATGACCTTTTTTAAAAAAAATTAATTTCCAGTCGTTGCAGACTAATACTGTTTAAAAGTACAACAAATTCCTAGAAGAAGAAAAATGCAAAGGATTAATAGGGCAAATGAGATTTAAAAAGGACGTATAAAACGCAAGTCCTATTTTTATTATTAGATTCAATAGACGTTATCCAATTACTAAAAAGACCAGCTTTCTGAATATATACTCTTAATTTCTGTGCTTATCTTGCTATGCATTTTGCAGACCTACTCTGCCTTTGGACTACACTTTGAGCAGCCTTGATATAGTTCACTCGTTTCTCCTCCGTTTGAGGAAGTACACTCATTTCCTCATTCATTCTCCGAATATACATTTCTTTAGCACTGTTATAGCCCAGGCATAAAGGCTGATCCTGACTTTCTCGGGATTTCTATGACACCATAGTTAGATGTTATCATTACATAATTAAATTGCAATAGTCTTGTAATAGGTCAGTATAATGTGATGTTCACCATAATAGTATTAAAAGAAAAAATTATCCCAGATCTGGTCTGGGACAGACCTTTTAGTATGTGATATAATTCAAAACGTATTTCTGGGAAGAAAATCAGTGCCCCTGATGAAACACCTATGCAATTTTCTGACAGATTGTAATGAAATTTAGACCTATTCTGGGAAACTACTCCACTACCCCCACCCCCCTCTGTGGACTGTCAGACAGTAGTTTGGTTGACCTTTAAACAGACATTCTTTTTTCCCTCCTGTATCTAGTCTGATGATAATTATCTGGCCTTCCTATCAAAGTGAATCTTGAAGTGGGTTCCTCGAAGCTCCTTCCCTTGAAGAAAGGACAGAATACAATTTAACACATGGTCACATCTAGAGAGGAAGGAGGAGACAATTCTGAGGGGCTGGAGGAGTTGGTGGGAGTGGGTGACCTGAGCAAGCTTTATGTTTCCAAGTCCCAGTATTTTTCATCTATGAAACAAAAAGAACAGTACTTCAGGAGGAGGTCGCGAGAATGAAGTGAGGGGTTGAATGGAAACGGCTTGGTATGCGGTTAAGTGTACCCTGTGTGTTCACCTTCATTAAGATGATGACTGTGGACCCCTGGTCTCCTTGAAGTAAAAAGCCCTGTAGTACCAGGCTCCCACTTCGCTCCAAACCAAGCTCTGGGCTTCAGCTTGCTCACTCAGGGATGGGACTTGAAGGAGCAGAAGCCCAGTCCCTCAGGGCCAGGAGGGGGTTGCCTGAAGCCAGTGAGTCAGCTGGGCTGCCATGGGGGTGGGGGGAGGCGGGTAACAGTGGCATTTCCCACACTTTCAAAGCTCCTTGGAAGGGGGAGGGGAGGGAACCAAGCGAGAATGAGCTTGGAGGCTGATTCTGGGGGACAGGCTTGCACTGGAGCCTGAGCCAGAGCAGGGAGGTGTGAGACCTGGAGCCCAGCCACACCTGGGCCCGCCCCACCGCCGTGGGGGAAGGCCGAGCTCCCCTGTGTCTTCGGCTCTGCGGCTGCCATTCAGCTGCTGTTCATGGGCAGTCCTTCCCCGCAACCCTTCTCTTAGCTCAGGGCCTGGGCTGAGGGGAAGAGAGACGCTGCTGTATTTTTCCTGGGCCTGTTTTCTTCTTTCTGCTCTTGGTAGAGGAAGCACGCTTGTCGTGTAGTGAGTAATTTTTGTCCTTCACCCTCCATCTACTTTTCCTGAGAAAGTGAAGTCTGTGTAAGAAGCTCTGGGAGAGGCATGAGGGGAGTCGGGAGCCTGGCCAATGTTCCCAGCCCACAGTACATTGTGGAGACTTACAAACTGACAGTTCTGTGCCTCAGCCCCCTGTGGTAAGGGAAGAGGGGGAGGCAGGGAAAGAGAAAGAACAGGGCGTCAGGCAGGTGGCACAGCAGTGCTCGCCTGGCAGGGCCCCTTCGTGAGGGTGAGGAAGTGGCGCCCACTCGGGGGGGAACAGGGCCCAGGCCAGCTTGGCCAGCCCAGCACAGTCTGCCTTCCAGTGTCCGCTGTCCTCTGTGCCCAGAGCCGTGTTCAGTGAACAGCCTGCACCATTGTGACCAGCAGCCCTGGTGGGAGAAGACCGGTCTCAAATGCTGTGGAAGATGAGGGTTCATGAGGAACGGAGATCAGCGAAGAGGTAAAAGCTGCCCTTGGTTGTGGCCATAATGTCTGGTGAGTGCAGAGGTACAGGCCGTTTCTGGAAAGAAAGCCTTGTCACTGTCAAGTGCTTTTACTCGCTGAGCGCAGCTCTGCACCTTCTCCAGCGAGGCATCGGCCCCACGCGGCACAATCCAGCCCACCCCTCCTCTTCCACCACGTGTGGGCTCGATCCCGGTTTCCTCCCCTGCATCGCTCCCCAGGAGCCGCCTCCTGGACTTCAGAGTGAAATTTCTGCCCCCGGCCTCTCTGCTGCTAATATTCAGTATTTTTTATGGGACAATGCTGGTGCCTTATTCTGCTGAGAGAATTTGTTTTCTCCCTTCCCCTTACCAAATGACACCTCTTTTAGAAAAAAGGAGAAAAGATGTGAGGGCTAGGGAACAAGAGAATGGAGATTAGTCACACTTTTTTTTTTTTTTTTTTGCTTTAATTCACTCTTTTTTCC